AAGGCCCATGGAAGATATTTTGGTAGTGCCCCGGATGCAATCTGGAGCAATACGGACCAGCCTTATCTTACTCTCACTGGAAACTCCAGCGAGTTCGGTATGATCACCCCCGCCAACGCCATGAAATACGTGCGTGAAAAATATCCCTGCATCTATCTTTCAGGCATTTTATGGCTGGGCCTTACCTTTTCATACCGACAGGACACCATTGAACCTTCCAGAGACACCTTCGTCTACACACATGCCGACTATGTCATCACCTGGACCAAGGCCAATGGCCAGAGTGTGCGAGGCCATAACTTTGTTTGGTACAATCAAAGTGCGTTGGCCATTGGCATTTGCATTGATCAATGTTCGACTCAACCATCAACCGTTTACCCGCCCCAGTCCCCAGCTGGGTCACCAGCGGTGCATTCGCCAATGCAACCCTCATCTCGATTCTCCAAAATCACATTGCTAATGAAGGAGGACACTACAATGGGGAGGTGTACGGTGAGCACGGCTGGGATGGCTGTTAAAAGCTGAGCCGAAGTTGACTTGAATTTCTAGCCTGGGATGTCGTCAATGAGCCCTTCAATGACGATGGTAAACCTCCTACTCGACGACTGACTAAAAGATTAGCTAATTTCAGGAACATATATAGGTACTTGGAGGTCGGACGTCTGGTACAACACGATCGGCCCGGCTTTCGTGCCTATTGCTTTCACAGCTGCTAGGGCTGCGCTCCCGACGGCCAAGCTCTATGTCAACGACTACAACGTACGTCTGCAGTCTCGCTCTCTTCTCGTCTCGAGCGTGATCTTGACCTTCTCCATCTTGTTGATACAGATTGAGACGATCGGCGCTAAGAGCACTGCTCATTATACTCTCGCCCAGCAGATGCTCGCCCAGGGTATCTCCTACCAAGGAATCGGCTGCCAAGGCCATCTCATTGTTGGCGAAGCTCCAGCAACAAGCTCTGTGGTGTCGAACTTTGCTAGGTTCGCTGCACTCGGTATGGAGTGGGCATTGACCGGTGCGTAATCGTCGTCAGCACGGTATCTGGTTGAGTAATTCATGGCGTCGGTGTTTCTGCCCATTCACAGAGCTGGACATCCGTATGACGCTCCCAGAGACCACGGCCCTTCTCACCCAGCAAGCTGCTGACTATACCGCGATCGTCAACGCGTGTCTTGTGAGCGATTTTTACCTCTTTTGTGCTTCCAGATTCACAGCTATTAAAGTGATCCTATGACGACTGATAGCAAAGCACGGCATGCGTCGGTATCACCACATGGGACACTAGCGATGACTACTCCTGGGTGCCTTCGACCTTCTCGGGCCAGGGCGATGCGCTTCTGTTCGATTCCAATAAGCAGCCCAAGCCGGCCTATTTCTCCGTCGCAGACGCTCTCGCGGCCGCCACAACTTCGAGCCACTTTGTTTAGATTACCTTTTCGATGCTTTCCGGCCAGCGTTTAACTTGGGCATCGTGCGCTCTTATCAAGGTTCGGTGGATCTAGTGGGTCAAATGCAATATATGACATTCACCTTATGCCTATAAATCCCATGTTCATCGTGGTTTGGCCGCAAGTGATCAGGTTATATAACGCTGCGCCAAGCGCTGATCTTCTACGCCAATGCAACCTCGGAAAGCGACTAATGCCACCTACCAAGGTTCTCAACTCGTCCAAGAAGAATGCGATTTACGTGTCAAGAACTGGACTTGCGAACCACAATGTGACTCGCGAGAAAGAATACCTCGTATAATCGTCCAAATTCCGACCGTGGATATGCGAAAAGCGTGACAGCTTCATTTTTTTCTGTGAGGAGATGGTAATGAACGTGAATGTATGCGAAGAAATCAAGTCTATCTGGATATGTTCCTCCTTCACAACGGCCGCAGTCCGGCACTGCCGTTTGCCGCGGCCGCGGCCTGCTCCGTCGTCCTTCGCACTACGACGAGGGTGGTCATGATGCTGGAGAATGCCAATAATAGCGTGCACCCGGAGAAGACCAGTTGCCGGTTGCTCGAGACGCCCGTGAGCATGATGCCAGTGACGAAGACGTTGAGAGGCACTCGAAAGAGTGCAGCGAGCTGAAACGGAAGGGTGAGGGATAAGAAGAAAAAAAAGGGGGGGGCCTCTTGGAAGACCGAAAAAAAAAGGAAAATGCGCTCACTGTTGCCCGATGATCATTGCTGATCATGGTGCCCTTCAGCATCCCTTGCACGGGATAATACATCCCCACGCACGCCTCGAAGATGCAGAAGCACCAAAACCGCGTTTGAGGGCTCGTCGCGGAGTAACTGAACGCGAAGCTCAGGCTGGCCGTCAAGCAGATCAACGAAGAGAGTTTCGCATGTAGGACCAGGGGTGGGTCGGATTTGGGTAAGGAGTGTGTGGCGATGCATGTGTAGATGAGGGAGCCGAGCATCATGGAGACCATGAACGCGCTGAAGATGTAACCGAGGGGGAGTGGGGGACCTGGGAATGCGGCGGAGGCTTCTTGCATGGATGGGACCCAGAGGAAGACGAAGAGGTACATGGAACCTTCGAAACAAGTCTGGGTGAGGCCAAGGACGAGTAAGGAAGGGTCTATAAAACATGGAGGGTAACAGATCAATCAGATGGGGGACCCTGCAACGTGCCCAACGTTTGGGGAGATCGAATTCTCATACCTCGTCGAACGATCTGCCAAGCTTGTCTCAACCTGGTGATTTGGAAGAAGTCGGTGGTGGAAGAACCGGCGGCATCCTGTCCGCCATAGTTCTCCGTCCACATCCCCCTGATCATCACCCACGATACGCCCAACAAGAGCGCGCTCAACATGAACGGGCCGGTAAAGCCTTCTGTCCTAGCGACGAGTTCATTACTGACGATACCCGCCGCGCTTGCAACGAAGCCGTTGACGAGCGTAGCTTGGCCGAAGATGGTTGAAAGGTCGGACTGGGAGACGCCCGTGGATTGAGATGCTGAGACGAGCCATGATTCGAAGCAGCTGAAGAGGATGGAAGTGGAGAAGCCTCCGAGGACGCGACCTGCCAAGAGGACAGGAAGGAATGGGACGAGCGTGCAGAAGCATGCTGCAGCGTAGGAGAGGCAGAAGTAGAGGCACATTCGACGTCGACCGCTTCAATTGTTTTTCCGGGAAAGGAAATGTCAATATCAGGTTTTCACAGATCTTCGAGTCTCAAAGAGGTGGACGCTTACAGCTTATCGGCCCAGACTCCCACGAGTGGCGCTGTGAGCCCTGCCGAGGTGAATCCCATGACGAAGAGTAAGGCGACGATGCGTTCCGGATATTCATATTGATCCTTGTACAACGAGTAGACGTATGGGCCTTGTAGCCAATCCGCACCCATGACGACCGCATACACGAACAAGTAATTCCGCTGCAGAGCAGAAAAGACCGCTCTCGATACCTCTCTACTGCCACCTCCTTGTCGATCGTTCAATGGTTCAGCCTCTTCTAACCTCTCTCCTCCGATCCCTTTCCCAAGGTCGTTCGAACCAGCCTTCTTGCGTCTATCCACATAGCGCTCGAGGAGGATGGCGGCGAAGCAGAATACCGCCAAGACGGTCAATTGGACCTGGTAAAAGTTGGGCGGCGTGGGTGGCATGTGTAGTAGCGACTGTTATCTATGTCAGCTTGTTGAATGCTGAGCCTTTTTATTGCGTTATCAAAGTGACGGTATCGGTGTTGAAGCCGCTAACGACACGTCCAAGTCGCGTTGATGGGTAAAATGACCAGTCCAAAAAAGGTTTACTGAAAGAGGAAGATGGCTCTGTGATTTCAATTCAGACCAAGGCTCCCCCCCGCACGATTCGGCAACTCCCGATAAGCTCATTGACGCAGCTAATTATGGGTATCTTGAGCATAAACGAAATCCATCCAAAAAGAATCTTGTCTACAGGATGTAGTGTACGGTGATAAAAGAGTATGATACCAATTGGGGGAGAAATTACATTATAGTACAGCAAGAGTTTTGCTAGAAGAGTGCGGCTTCGGGTAAGCTTCGTGAGGATCAATTAATTGCACTTAAATGAGGACTGACCTTCTTGGCAGTCTTGTAGAACATCTTACTCTGTTGGCTAAGAGCGGTGGAACGGTCCACTAGGTTGTCGAGCTTCTCCCCACGTTCTAATACCGATTCGATGGTTTGATGCTATAGGTAGGACATGAAAAGAACCCGTCAGACACCGCCAATGGCAAACCCAGATCAGCAGTGGTGATCACCAGGATGATCTTCGTTTCGTCGAGTTCCGCTTGCACTTTCATGATATTGTCGGCCTGTTTCGGGTCTTGGTACTTGGATAAATAGGAATGTATCGCCGGGAAGGGCGCAAGGGAAGTGTCAGAACGAGATGCCACGGGGACAGCGGTATCGTATTCATCCAATATCTTGGCAAGGAGAGAGAATGCGGGTCGGACCGGGTACTCTTGATCCGTTACGACGACAGCTGGAGGTGGAAGAGAAAACCCGAAGTCATCAATTGACATAATAAGTGGCAAAGCTGCAGGGCTGTGGCGGATACTGACAGCATAATGGATCTGGGCCGCCCCGATTGTAGACGTGGGCAACATAGGCATTCTCTTGGACGCTCTGTCTCTGGCCTGCTTTCGTACGCTCTGCAACCGTCTTGCAGAAGAACGTCATGAACTCTGCCACACTGCCTCTCTGATAGAAGGAGAATGAGGACAGATCTGACGCTGAGGCCAGCGAAACCGCCTGCCCAGATGTTGGCACGCTAAGTACGGCAAGTGCGTAGACCTTCATGGTGGACGCGTAGGATGTCGATAGGGGCTGGTAGGGTGGTGGATGAGTGAACGCAGAACTGTGGATTGGTCTGCATCGCAACCAGGGTCATTTTGCCTTCCACGGTTCAAAAACCTAGGGTATAGACACAGCGGAAATGGGTTTTGAGTCAGTGTGACTGTCAAAAGCTCAGCGCGAGCTGCGGGGGCAGTGATACAAGGCAGGGAGGAATTGGCTAAGGGATTCGGAGTGGCAAAAGAAGTGACCAGTGAGAGGGTCGAACTCTCGACCTTGGCGTACCAGACTAATACCCTCTGTATTAGCACCACGCTCTAACCGACTGAGCTAACCGGCCAGTTGCTCTGCTGCCCCTTGTTTATGATATATCAGTTGATAAGCAGAATAATATGCCTTGGGAACCAGTCTAACCACGGTGGGGTTTAGGCAGTCCCATGCCTGGTTTGGCGGCTATCTAATCAACGCTATGTCAGTGACCAAAATGACGTCTCACTGTCTGTGAGAATCACTATGGGTGTGCTTCAGTTCTACAGTATACGCCGGTCGCGATGATGGTCTATAGGAGACTCTATGTAAGGGGTAGGCATGGAGTGAGAGAAGCATTTACAGAAGCGGTGTCTTCAATTTGAGGACGGGGCTTCCAATCTTGTACTGACCTCTGCTTTGAACCATAGGTAATTCTGGCGAGGATTTTCGAGTGAGCGTTGAAGATGGCACGTTGGTTGTCGGCTCCGAGAGGAGGCGCGGAACCGTGTCTGGCCACCAAAAGTGCAAGGCACAGGAGACAGGAACTCGACCAAGCTGGCGCACAGTGAAATGTCAAAAGAGGCCCCTCCAGTCCATCTGACTGATGCTCTATAAGCGTACAAGCGGTTATTGGTGAGAACGTATTGCTATTTAAAACACGAATTTCAATCCCGTCTGACCTACCTCTCTGTTGCTGGTTCCGCATCATCCACCTGGTTGGGCTTAGGAGAACCCAGCGCCTTTGAAGCAGGTTAAAGATAACATCATTGGGCGCATCCACCATGGTGGTCGCTCCGGGAATCGCCGAGGCAGTTGTTCAGACCATCACCCTCCCACTCTTGGTCTTCGGGCCAGACCTACACCTTACCTTCTTCAACGATTCTGCAGCACACATCCTAGAGAGCGTCCCTCTCGAAGACCGCCCTCATGTCAGATACTTTCTACGTCAGAAGTGGATACCCGACTCTGAAGGAGGGGCGTACGAGGACATGGATGATGGCGACGTCAAAGCCAAACTCGAAGATTTAGTGGGTGAGGGACGTCAATTTATGAACATCGACGCCAAGAACTGGGGTGCAGGATCAAAGGTACAGATTTGGACAGGATCAAAAGGGCGTCGAGTATGTCGTTGGTATGAAGCGCTAGTCCAGACAATCACTCCAGACGCACTGGCTTCGCCTGGATGTGCTTCCTCAACATCGGAACTCACACCAACACCAACGTACACCTCGATACTCCTCCTCCGGCGTCTCGAGTCCAAAAACATCCCCAGCGCCTCTGGCATCGTGGGCGCGATTGGCCCAGGATCTATACGCTCGGCATCTATGCTTAGCGGCAGCTCTGGCTCAGGTACTGGAAGTTACGCCGATGACGATAGAAGACATCGAGAACAGGATAATGATTTGCGTCATACCTTGAAACGCGTTATCCTCCCTCCGAAAGAAGAAATCGAACGACTTCGCGACGTCGTCGACCATATTCCTCATGTCAGTCTATTTTATTGCCCATTTCTGGGGCCATGACTGAATTGATCAGTACGATAGATCGTTTTCACTTGCTCTCCGACCGGGGAGGTCACCTGGTTAAACAAAAAATGGTCCGTTCCAAAAACACTTTCCTTCTATCCATGCTCCCCAAGCATCCAGATTATTGGTGACGGTTATTCGTGAAGCTCTAAAGAAATATATACCACTCTCTTGCAGGTATGAATATACTGGCCTTCCCAACGACTGGGAATTCGAAGTGCAAGATTGGGCGGTACGTGAGAGCTCCAGCCAAGTAGCCTTTCTTTTTTGTCTTAAGCCATTTCTATACCCAGGCCATGCATCATGCCGATGATATGCCATTTGCTTTGGGAAAATGGCGAGCCTCTTGGGAGACTGGCACACCCTTTGCGGTTAGTCCATCAGCACCCAGCCAATCGAGTTGGTATAACTGGTAAATCCCTTTTGATTGAGAATAGGCAGAGTATCGACTGCGAGATGCAGATGGAGTTTGGCGATGGATGGTCGCAAAAGCAGTACCAAGCCGGGACCCAATGACCGGCGAGATTACGCATTGGGTTGCAACGGCTACAGATGTGGATGAGTTAGTGCAGGTCAGTCAAGATATACGAACGCAAGAAGCAAAGTATATCCTCATTCCCACAAATAGGCGCGGTCGGACGCGGTCAAGGTCAAAGAACATGTAACAGCCGTCTTGAATGGTATGTTCCACAGAAATCGATACCTGGGATCGTTATGAGTTGAACCCACCAGGTGTCATGATATGACGCGTCTTACGTAGGTGCACATGTCGTTTTGTTTTCAGTCGATCGAGACGAGATTATTACCTTCTTTGAGGGCTCAAGCGACACTGCGTTGGCCAACAACGTGCCAGGAGGTGACCAAGTAGTTGGAGCCTTGTTAGAAGATGCTTGGCCAGACCCTGAACTGATCGCCGAGGTGACGAAGATGCTATGTGAGGGTTCTGTGAGTGTGGCTTTTTTGAAAATAAATAAATATGCGATTAGACGTACCATTTACAAGTCATCTCGGTCCCGCTTAGGAGTCTGCCACGCTGCAGACAAAAGTCGACCCAGATCAAGGCCGATGCTACCGCTACAATGTCAGTAATACAATGCCAAGGAAAGTGCTCACGTATACTAACCCAGCATCATCTGACCTTGTTTAGTTGACGCCATTATCTAACAAGTTGACTAGGGAACTGGAGGGCGTCATTGTTGTCGCAACGGATGTAACTGGTATGTCAAGGCATTATACATCATCCAAAAAGAAAAAGAAAAAGATCTAACCCCGATGACCTTTCAGACCTCGTAGCAGCCGAAGCAGCTCTTCAAAGGGCCGACCTCGAACGCGCACAACTCTTAGCTTCCGAGACGGCGGCCAGGGAGGCATCGCGGTTGAAGACCTCGTTCGTGACGAATATCTCTCATGAGATTCGCACACCAATCGCAGGTATGACTGGGATCGCAGAGTTGCTCCTCGCAGATCCTACTCTCAGTGTGGATCAGCGTCAACTGGTCGAAAAGTGCCTTCAATCCGGGGAGATTTTGCTCGACCTGGTGGGCATGGTCCTCGTGAGTATAATATCCCCATGAATAAAATTCTCTCTCAACCGCGACATCTTATCGTTTTGGATTCTTCGTCTCCTAAGGACATGGGGAAGATAGAAGCCGGAAAGTTGGAGTTGGAGCAACAACCCTTCCTTTTACACGATGTCCTTGCAGATGCCAAATTATTCGCAGTGGCTGCACAAAAGAAGGGCCTCCAGTTTCTAGAGGACTTCCCGGAGACCCTCTGGAAAGGGTCATTTATTGGCGATCGACTGCGACTGAGGCAGATCCTCGCCAATTTCCTCTCGAACGCGGTCAAATTTACGCCGAGGGGGTCGGTCACACTTCGCGTTAGGCAGGAGGAAGGCGAGAAGCCAGGGCAACTGATGATGACGTTCGAGGTGTCAGATACTGGGATCGGCATAGAAGCTGGTGCAATCTCTCGACTCTTCTCTCCATTCCAGTAAGCCTTCCTTCCCTTTTCATCCCGTGTTCTCCATGACAGTTTTTAAACACCGGCACCCTCGAATAAAGCCAAGCAGACTGTTCGACTGCGCGTCAGTATGGCGGCAGCGGTATAGGACTATTTCTCACCCGAAGTGTGAGCCACTTGCACTTCGAGTTGAACATTTGTCTGATGCAATGATTTTTCAACGGACAGTTTGCGAAGATGATGGGTGGGAAAATCTCACTGCGGTCGGTATATGGCCAAGGAAGCACTATCCAAGCTCGAATCCCTCTCATGACGGTGCCAGAACCTGGCCTCTCAGGCCGTGTTGACGTTCTTTCAAGTGCCTCACCGTCAACCACCCCTATAATTGGCGAGCACCCAAGGATAACCCCTCCGCCACCAGATAGAAAGAACTACAGGATACTGTTGGCGGATGATAATGATCTGATACGGTGAAGTTATGTCCGCGTCCAGTAACATCTCGTGCCTTCTGACTTGCAGTTATGGTTCATCAGGGAAGTGATCTTCAGGCTACTAACAAAAAAGAAGGTGTGTTAAACTAGGCGTCAGGTGGCCCTCGACTGACATACTCTCTTCATCCCTAGTTCTACGTGGACACCGTCTGCGATGGACAACAAGCTGTTGATGCCGTACACAAAGGCGGATATGATCTCATGTAGGGAATCCGTCTAATTTTCTATCATCTCGATTTAAAAACCGTCGTATCATGCCCCGCAGCTTGATGGATGGTCAAATGCCAGGCGTGGATGGATATCAAGCTACTCGTCTCATCCGTCTTTCGGCCGACCCTTGCATCAGGAACATCAAGATCATTGCTCTCACCGCGTCTGCTATACGTGGCGACAAAGAACGCTGTCTAGGTGCGACAATGTTGATACAAACACTGAAAACCTTTGGCTGATGCGATACAAATTATAGAAGCTGGCATGGACGCATATCTGCCCAAGGTCAATCTGAGTGTGGATATAGCCCCGTTGACAAGCGGCTGACTTTGATTCTTTACTGATCAGCCTGTCAGAGCAACAGCCTTGGAAGACGCGATTATCAAGCAGTTGTCATCACCTTCGTGCCACAGGCCGTCGCCAGATGCCGTCCACGATGCTTCTTGTCCATCACCCCCTATTCCTCACGATCCTTGAATACTCTATCTTGGTACTGGTTCCGCCTTACGTCTCTAGACTCCTTCTTGCGCTGTTGCTTGCTGACCGCCAGGGCCATAAATAGTGCCTACTATCATTATTCGTTCGCTTGTTTTACTTTTTTTGGCATTCTAGGGTATTATAATACTATCCCAAAGCTTTAGTTCCAGTTTTCCAATGGGCTCTCGACCTCCAAAATGAAGGCCGGCAGCATGGAACATATAACGTTGAGGGACCACTCAAAGAAGGTGTTCAATCATCGAATGTTACATAGTTTGATCAAGTTGACGCATGTAATTGAGAAGGAGCTGGAGATACGGAAGAAAGAAAGATAGGACACAGTCGGCATCAAAAATCAACCCCCTTCGCCTGACTCACCATCCACGTCTACTTTCTTTGACTTTGTGGGCCATTTGGACTCGACG